GTTTATTTACGCCATACACAGACTGAGCTCGTCAAGCTACAGTACCGCCACTTACCATGGAGAGTGCCTTGAGATCGAGGGTACGTTGAGACGGCTGCATCAGGCATACACCTTGAACTGGACCCCAGAACGCACCGACGGTGAAGTTTCCCTCGCAGCGTCTCACAACGGGTCGCATATCCTCTTGGTAGAAGAAGCAGACAAGTTTGTAATTTACATTTAGGTGTGTGCCTATCACCATAAGGGCAGATATCGCGAGGGAAGAAAGACACCGCAAACGACGGAACGTTTTGAACTCTAAAAGAAGGTGTAGCCCTTACACCCCGTGTCACATATACGACACCCCAAAATTTCAGTTTGACTTACAGCGCACTGACGTCGACGTGACGGCCCGAACGTTTATGAGAGGCTTGATGACGGTGCGATGTAACATATTAAGCAAATCAAGTACGTATCAGTTACAACAGAAAACAAAATACCGAGACATACTCTAGCTATTTTCATAAGTTGAACAACCCGGTTGTCAAGCCGCTCGTGAAAGTTGGCAGCGTCGGTTGAACGTCAGTGCGCTGCACGTTAAACTGAAGTTTTGGGGTGTCAGGGCTACACCCCCTTTTTTTTAGTGTGTAGCGGCCCAACGCACTCACCGTGGATACAAGTCTCATTGGAGGTGGCCAGGCTTCCAACCGCTGTTGCCGGCCACGACAGGGTGTCCAGAAAGCCAGTGTCGTGTTTTGTAGTTTCGGAAAAACATATTTCTGTCAAAAAAAAAAAAGATTCGCATAATATTTTTTTTATTTTGTATATTATTCATTCCTCTATTCGTCTCTGCGGATATTAACAAAACCAAATTAGAAAAAAAATTAAACATGCATACCCAATGCATTTTTTACGTGAACAAGTGGATGCGCAAATATTCCAAGTCCAATGTATTGTTTCGTGGGACAAAGCAATATAACGGTTCAATTAAAACAAAAGGTTCAATGCGTGTCTCTCAATAAATCTTGCAAACAAGTTACAAAGTTCTGCCGATATGAAAAAAAAATAAGTTCGTTACCATATCATTGTAAACTTTCATTTTGACATTTATCCGATATGTTTTTTCTACAACGTTTTGATAACTTATACCGAAGTAATTGCATGCTAAACCTAGTGTTGAGACCAGCATAAACTTAAACACTCGATATGGTATAGCGGTTTGTATATGTTTTCCTGAATTGAGTTTCATAAAGCTAAATATATTTGCTTAAAGTAACGCCCGTGTTTCGTGAAAGGAACTTTTGACTGTCTTAAACAAAAATCTTTGAAAAAAAAGTGCTTGCACAATACATTTGTCTTTAAGGACTCAAATCACTTTATTCCACTGCGCATCTAGCAAAGCACTTGGAATGGAATCAAGGGTTAACCAGAACCACATTACGTAGAGCTTTGCAGGACTCTATTTTCTTACTTCGTCCAACTGCTTAACCTAAAGTTTCAGTATAGCAGAATAATATTTAATTCTGAGTACTTCTATTTAAAACAGCGATCCCTATATACTAAGAGCTTTATAAAGCAAATTAAACAGGATAGAAAAATCAAATAAATAGGCACGCGGTGTACAATGAAATTCACGCTGCGGAGGTAGATATGACATAATATTAAGGCAGTGCAGGTCGCTTGCGACCTGAGCTTACAAAGCTTCTATTACTTGCACTGCGCCGTGCATAGAAATCATAAGGCGCGCAAAGTGTTTTTTGGTTCCAGATCTACTTCTATACGTATTATTCAGGATTCTTAATGTTTTTAGTCATACATTATGATCAGCAAAGCAGTCTTAACATGGACCAAACAGAGCAAGTGTCTCCTCACCTGTACTTGTCACCTCCGCTGTTCCAGGAACGACCATTGTTCGTAGAATGCTGGCAGGGTTTGCCAATAGTGTGCTGACCCGACTAACAATTGTTCGCTCCTCTTCAGGGTTGAGAGTCCTGGGAAGCCGTAAGGGCCTTTTCAAATAAACGAGGAAGTTGACAAATGATGTATTGTTTCTGTAAAAAAAAAGTCAGTCATGAAACAAGTTCGCTTATCAACAACAATTTTATAAACGAAAGTAACCCTATAGTTCGGCTTTACAACGCGCCTTTCGACACGCCAAAGATGAATTTCAAGAAAGAAAAATTCTCCGACGATGACGATGCACTTTATACGCTGTGTGATTGTCTCCGTGGAATTTAGGGTCGGCTACCGTCACACCTGGAAGTATGGAACCAAACGCACAATGCCACGGGGGTCGTCGTCCTTCTTGCGTTTGGTATTCTTGGTTAAACTCCAGGCTCAACAAAAGAAGCGCAGTGGATGCACCGTGTCTGTCCCCCTTGTTCTGTCCCCCTTGTTCCCCTTCTCCAGGGTTATTTTCATCATTCTTGTCCAGCTCGCTTGCACCTTTGCAATTAATTGCATTCTAATTATAACCTTAAAAATTGCAAGCTTCACCCTTGTTGGTGTTAGACTGGTGGCGACTGATAAAACCCGTTTGCTCTACTGATGACTAACCCCTGGTTAGCTCAATTGGTAGAGCGCTCCACCTGTAATGGAGAGGTTCCGGGTTCGATACCCGGACCAGGCGGATTTTTTCGGTCGCGCACCAGTCACCTAGCTGTGTTTGGAGATTTATGTTTGTCCTCTGTCCCCCTTGTTCCCCTTCTCCAGGGTTATTTTCATCATTCTTGTCCAGCTCGCTTGCACCTTTGCAATTAATTGCATTCTAATTAGGTGACGGATACTTCTAGCCTGTTCCATTCTCTTCCAATCTGGCCATAGAGGTCACCTAGAAAATTAAACTTCGTAATCTGCTTGTCCGGAGTGGGATTTATGGGCATGGCAGCTCATGCAACACGGAGGTAGTTTTCTGCGACGTGGTCAGCGCCGTTGACTCACGAAGGTGTATACGATCGCGGTTGGATTACCAGCAACTGCAGATCTTTAGGCAGGACCTCCAGAACAACAAAGAAGTTACCCCTTCCCTGTGCTCTTCACAACTACTTTCTGTGACTGAAGTGAAGATCAAACATTGGCCAATGGCGACATGGTATCCGAGAACTTCGAGCCATCGAAGCGCGTTAATCCGCGTCGAAATTGCATTTTTTTTACCTTCATTTTGGCCATTCAACGGAATAAGCCATGATGGGAAATCTTCATAAAACGTTACATAGCTTCTCCTGGGTTGCAGTTTTACCGGCACATTTAATTTTCGGTGTTGATTCTTAGAATACCGAATTGTGCAGTGAACTTTTACACCGATATGATGTGTGCCGGCATCGGAGCTCTACTCAGACATGTCACAAGTGGTGACAAAAACAGAATCTACCGGCGACAACTTCACAAGATTCCGCGCATCGACTTCACAAAGTTCGAATCTGCTGAAATTCGGTGTTGCCGAGAAACTGTGACGTTCGCGGAAAATTCGTGAGTTGGCAAAGTTGCATGAGGAACGATACCCGAGGAAAACTGCCTGTATTTTATATAACGTTGTGAGGTTTTTTAACGAAATAAATCTTCGTATAGAAACACCCCTAAAAATTCATAGGCTAAATAGTGCCGGACTCTGACCTGGCCATGTGCGTCACCTGGTAAATTAAACTTCGCAACAATATTTTACCTGGCAAGGCCGCACTACCCTTTTTCATTTCTCAGTAGTGAAACAAACAAAAAATGCAACACAAAGACAAAGAAAGTTATCTAGTTAATCAATAGAGGACAGTATCATACAGCCTTATAATAGTGCTATGCATAAAAGGGAATTTACTAAAAATAACAAAAACACAATGGTACCTGCGGTCACAACTGCTTATGCACTACTCTGCAAAAACATTATCATTAAAAAATTAACCAGGTATACTTTAGACACTATTGACAGTCTGGCAGAACAAAAATAACTTAGGTTCCGCGCATTCATTTTATGTTATTGAAACGCACGTGACGGTACAAAAGTAATATTAAATAATATATTCGGGTTTCCATATATCAACTAGAACAATAATGGATAGACTATAGTTCTAGTTTATATATGCAAACCCGAATATCTTATTGCAATTACTCTGTATACACAGTAATTACGGCAGGCAAACATGGGCGGTTCGATGAGTACTTACGTGCCTTCAACTACGCCGACCACTTGCAGTTCGTAAAGTAGATAGCCGTTAATATTTCTCTGGATGAAAGATAAAATATCGTTTCGAAATTGAGATGCAAACTGCAGGAAAGATCTCAGCGACGGATAACCTCGGATGTGCATGAATTCTGGAGTAAGCTGGAGAGAGCAGGCCAACGACTTCACATCTAGAAGAGATACGATTATACATCACGGCAAGCATTTGCGAACTACTAACTAAAAATGAAGCGAAATATTACGCATATCAAAACTGTTGTCAAAGAAAGCGCCCACTGGAAAGTGTTCTATGGACGTGGTTCGCTCTCTGGTTTGCAAATAATCGTCGTCAATTTGTTGTGAAGGACGGTGTAGGTTGTTACTGCTTCTGCGTATACGGAGCCGCGAAATGGAATACAACAGCTTCTTAGAATAACATTTGAAATACATTTAATTTATATTTAGCTCTGATAGGCCCACATATAAATGCTTGTTCAGTTTTCTAGAGAATGAATTTATTATTCATCATGCTTGCCCGTAGAAAATGTTTGAAATTAGTTTGATAGATAAGCGGGGAAACTAAAAAAATTGTTTGTCGAAATTTCGATATTATTTTGGTACACGTCTACGCCCTATATATGTTTATAATTTGAGACATTGAAAATACGTTTTAGTTCACACCTACTTGCGAATTAAACGAATCGATGTGTCTCTTCGAACGCTATTCAGGGAACTCGGGAGTTGCGGCTGTACACGAACCTGAAAATCGAAGAAGCTGCTTTCTTGACTCCACTCGGCGGAATCCGTCTACTGTGATTCCTTCGCACCAGTAGTAACCTTGCAGGTAGGGGTGCTCCCTCGTGGCGCTAACCTCCATCAGAACTGCGTCGTCAAGCCCTGTTTGCAGTCGGTTTCCTTTCACGCCCAAGCCGTCCTTGTACCACACAATGGAATCGGGAAGAATTTCGGGTGACACGAAGCACTGAAATGTCGCCCTCTGTTCCTCCTGCGTCATCTGCACTCGTAGCCAGGCGTTTCCTGAAAAGATACCGTTAAGTTTATTGTCGCAATAAGAAAATGAACGTCTTGTGGCGATTTGAGAAACGACGACGCGTCCTTATTTTTTTTTTCTACAGAGAACGTGAAGATGAGCTTGCGGCGAACTACGAAACACTACATTCGATTGACAAGACGAAGGACATGGTAAGACTAAACTGTTCTACTTTGTTTCACCTTTAGTCAGAGCATACCCGACATTATAAGCCGATGAGGCTAATTAAGTAGAGCTGAATAGACGACGTCACGCCATTCGTCCTCGTTTTGTGCGTTTGTTATCGCCAAATAAACTGCGCCGAGACCTAGCAGTTTTAGTTTGTGCGTGCGTCTTTTCATGTCTTCTAGCATTTGACTTCTGTCTGTATTAAGGTAAAATAAAGTACGTACTTTGTTCAGTTACTCCTAACCCCAACTGCGTCTTTTTTTTTTTTTTTTTTTTTTTTACGCGAGATGAAACAAAAGCAGGACGCAAGGACATGACACAAGCAAAACCGCTTCGAGGAGGACAACCAGGTACGAGCAAGAGTAGCGATTGAAACGTGAACACCTTCAAGAGGCGTAGAGGGAGAAGACAAAAATACTTTATCGCATGCCGGAGGTTCCACATTAAGGATGGCAAGGTCCGCGAAAAAGATATATAAATATTGTTTTTCTGTGAGTACGAGTTTTTCGATCTGAATATCAACGCGTCATATTTAGCTTACGCTGAGCCATTGAAACCTGAAGATTATATCCGTCGTCTTCTTGCAGATATATGTGATAAATAAGAGGTATTTCATTCAAGCTACAGACGGTATTACTGAAAGTGGGCGAGAGATAACTGGGAACACCTTCCTCCTCCCTAGGTTAGGGCAAAAAGAAAAAGGTCGGTGTTATATTGTTCTTTCTTTTAGTTTGTTCTTTTTTCTAGAATGTTTGTTGTTTCTATTTTTCTCAATTTGATACATAATCAGAAACTCTGGGGTCGGTGGGTTGCATTAGTAGATCGAAGCATTTTGCCCATTGCCATCGTGTCCAGCGTTCCGCAATATTTCTTGAATAAAGAAGCTTTGAGTCCTTCCCCGCAGCTGCACTCAGCAGTACACGTGTCACGTTCGGTCTCACAGACACCAACCACGCATCTTGAACTGCTGCGCATGCACTGTTTTTTTTTGTAATCAGGAAATTTAAGTTTATGTCGATCTAACGGGTAACGACGGTCTCAAGCAAGCCGATCTGTAAATAGTTAAGAGTCTCTAGGCTACATTTGACGGGCGAAACTCCGCCGCCAAATTTAGCGTGACTCCGGAGCTCAGGAAAACTGATTAATAAATATTCAGCGCGACTCAAAATACGCTCTTCATTCTGTTTCTTCCTACCTTACGTGGGGGTAAGATACAAAAGTGAATCTTTATGATTATTGAGAGTAAGCATTGCCGGCTTGCCTCAAGGTAACAAACATAGCTTGGTATAAATCGAATTTGTTATATAATTACCGGTAATTATGATATTGGGTGCGCTCTTTTGCCATTCAAGAACTTCTCATGGTATGCATGATGAGGAAAAACAGCTCAGAAAACACGGACTGCGAAGAGGAACAAACACGACAGGACAGTGCTCTACTCGCAACTGAAGAATTTTAATAAAGAAACAGACATAAAAAAAAACATACACAATATCTTAAAAGATTGCACAGAAACAAAGGACAACTCTCGCCAACCGTGAAGCGTGTCAATAAACTACCCGTTCACTACTTGGCTCATTTTTTGCCGCAGGAAGAAAATCTCCTTAGCTGACAGCGCCAATGACGGTTCACTAACACATAAATGACCATGACAGAAAATGTGGAAGGCCTCAACGATCTCTCTCGTCACCCTGTTCTTGTACGCGCCCAGAACGGTGACTCTGCCAAAGTCCCGAGCCGACACTTGCACTCTCTGCAATGAATCGGCAACAGCCACCCAACCGTAGCTCCGAGCGAATATGAATGCTCTCGTAATCTATCATTCAGACATCTTCCTGTTTGCCCCACGTAGCCCCTGTTACATGACAAAGGTATCTTATATACCGCACACAAAACGCAAGTGACAAAAGGTTTTTTGTGCGCCTTGGTGCACTTCGCGCTGGAACGACCAGCTATCCCCGTACCAATCCTGGAACATATCTGGCCTATTTTTCGGGGCGCCGAAAACACTAGATTTTAAATGTTCCCACTCAAAGGTGGTTAACAGGCCCATAGTGGTGTCGTGCCTTGGGTCAGCCCTTAAAAAATCATGTGCCCACAAGATGACCAAAGGTTTTAGAAAACAAATTGGTAGATTGAAGGAGTCGGGGTTCCCGTTGACACTCTTGGCAGAAGTAGCCAGTTCACTTCTTAAGAGAGCTAAGGGGGTGGAGAGGACGACGCCGGAAAGAAAAAAGAAACGTGTGGTAGTGGTCGCCTACCTCAAGCGCGTTTCTCATAACCTGAAACAACTAGGTGGCAGATCTGGAATACCGGTAGTGTTTTCGGTGCCCAACAAGAAATAGGCCAAATATGTTCCAGGATTGGTGCGGGGTTAGTTGGTCGTTCCAGCGCAAAGTGCATCAAGGCGCGCAGAAAACTTTTTGTCACTTGTGTTTCGTGTGTGGTATAAAGATACCTTTGTCATGCAACAGGTGCTACGTGGGGCAAAGAGGAAGATGTCTAAATGATAAATTACGAGAGCATTTATATTTGGTCGGAGCTACGGTTGGGGGGCTTTTGCCTATTCATTGCAGAGTGCAAGTGTCGGCCTGACTTTGGCAGAGTCACCTTTCTGAGCGCGCACAAGGATAGGGTGACAAGAGGGATCACTGGGGCCTTTCACATTTTGTGTCATGGCCATTTATGTGTTAGTGAACCGTCATAATGGCGCTGTCAGCCAAAAAGGTTTTCTTCCTGCGGAAAAAAATGAGGCATGTAGATAGCGGGTAGTTTAATGACACGCTTCACGGTTTGCGAGAGTTGTCATTTGTTTTTGTGCAATCTTTTAAGATACTGTGTATGTGTCTTCTGTCTTTGTTTACTTTATTAAAATTCTTCAGTTGCGAGTACAGCATTGGCTTGTCGTGTTTGCTTCTCTTCGTAGTCCGTGTGTTCTGTGCTGCTTTCACCATCATGTATAACTTCAACCAACTAGTCCAGTTCACCACCTTATTACACTTTAAAACTTCTCATGGGCATGATTTAAAAACTAAAGGGCTGTGGACCACTGGATCTTGATGTTTAGATCTTGAATGCGGCTCTTTTGACTCGACTTGATAATGATACATCGCTTATAGTACCGAATGATCATTCATTCGCACGCATGAAATTTACGTGCAAGTTATTTTGATCTGTTCTTTTTTATCGCGATTTTGTTTAGCATTTTTCAGAACCAGGAAAGTAAGTTGACCGACATAACGCAAATAATGCGATTTCCTATGTTTACGAGCATAAAACGTGCGTGGCGGTAGAATAAATGAAGTATGAATTTATTCTAAAATACCTTTAATTAGGAAAATAATAAAACATTACAATACCAAAACAAGCCAACGCAAAAAAAAAAAAAAAACTTTTTTTGTACATTCGCGTTTGCATTTACGACGGGGACATCTACAAATGAAGTGCGAAATAAGTGTTTCCTTCATTCTGCCAATGCCGTTCCCACTACTATAACACCGTGGTGGATCCCATATTCCCGGGCAAAAAAAAAAAAATGTTCGCAGTGCCTCCTACCGTAAACATCTATAAAAGGCAGTTGAAACGAGCAAATTGCGGCATACAACACGTAAGGTGCGCCAGTGACGACACAAACACAGATTCCTTTAACAACGCGGCCGCATTATCTACAGCGGCGCCCCAAAGACAGTTTTCACCCTAATTCCATAAAAAACGGTCGATGCAATTTTCGCAAGAATCACGTGGCCAGAAATGTGTGACAGGTTTTTCTAGTTCACTTATTTGGCCCCACGTGGCGTAGTCACCTTTAACTTCTATGCCCTAAGCGAATTCCCACCAAAGTGGGATGTGTGTGCCGAATGAAAAAAATAACATAAAAAAGTAATTTCACAGATAACAAAATTATGAGATACTGAGTGTGTGGTGGTGAAACATACCGATAACTTCATCATTCCCCACTGCAATTTCACGGCGATACTGCGATCATAGGAAAAACGTTGAAACTTCTAAACAATTTCGCAAAAATAATCGCACGCATTTCAATCGCTTTCATAGTTGACTTGGAGTGCGATATACTTACTAGGTACGTTCAGATATAACTTTGTTGTAAGTGAGTATATGCATAAAATAAATGTTGTTATTAGTGGTTGGTTCGTTACAAGACGTATCTATAAGGATGCATTGTGAGCTGATGTTTACCAGGCACATAATACACGTTGATTTATATCAACTTTCCGCCTGGTGCAATGTCGTCATCAATACAAAAGCAGCTGAATTTAGACCGGAAAATAAACGTTTTGAGTTGAACTTGCACCTAAAAACTCAAAGAGAAAGGTGCCACGCGCCTTGCGTCGGCAACGGAAGGTGACTGACTGTGCTTTCGTATACGTGGCATGTTCCGGAATGCTCTGAACAAGAACACTCGATGACAGCCGTGAATAGGGAGGGATTTCTTAGAATATGATGAAAAAAAAAAAGTAGTGCACAAAACGACGAGGACGTGTTGGGTTCCTGTCCCAGGAACCCAACACAAAAGACAGACAGGCCCCATTTTTTCATCATGCTCACCTTGTATCAACTCGCCCAGCTTATCACATTATTCTATTTATTTCTTAAAATAGTGAGAAATTACTAAAATAAAGATCTGGGACGAGCGGGATTCAAACCCCATTCCTCTGCGTGACAGCCGTATACGTTTTCCGACCCCGTCATGCACGTGGCTTTTTTTTTTACTGATTTGGACGATGACACAACGCAGTGACACACAATCGTGATGAAACACTAAAAACACCAGCTCTCTTGAAAAATTTCGAACAGGCTA